CAGCTTCAAACAGGAACCAGGACACACCAAAAGCAAAATATAGATAAGACGAGATCTCCTTTCACCCAATCACAACTCGCAGTAACTAAAGTTCACCTTAATTTAAGTGATTCTCATACCATTGACACCCGCTACTTTGGAAACAGAGTGCCTACATCACGAGGCAGAACTCATGCATGTTTTGTGATTAGTGTGCACGTTACGATTGGTTATACCACATAGAATGCAAGCTTTTTTTTTTTTTTTAAATGATGATTCGGATCCTGTGAATGAAAGCATCGGCCGTATCTCAACGGTGTGGATAAGATGGTCGGACTCGCTACTCTGGCACTAAAATGTCCCCTGATTCTCCCCTGCTAATCTCCAAGCAGACTAAACGTTAACGAGCACAGCCTGGCCTAATCAGACGTCCATCAGAGCGCGAGTTCCGCAAGCTGTCGTCTGTGATTTCAAACGGCAGATTCATCTTTCTCGCCCCGAGGACGCTGCAAATGAAGAATTATTGGACGGCAGTCTGGGAAGGGGGAGGGGGGGGGTGCGCGCGGAGGGGGGAGAGGGGGCTACTAAGGGGAGTGGGGCACAAACAACTGGTGGCGCTTCTTCTAATCTTCAATTTGTCACCATTTTTTTCCTATCGCTTTCCTTCCGTTCCACTGGTGGGTAGACATAATTTCAATATGTAGATTTCAAGGAGTCTCAATCGCTGCAATGAATTCTGCTTTAGTGGGGTTGGGAAGTCTTTAATATTTTATCTCAAGTCAAAGTTGTAAATTGTTTCAACTCCGGGGACAGCATCTGATACAATCTCAACAAATTTTCGTAACACTAATTGCACAGCGTGACAATTTAATTACTTTTAACGATTATTAATAGATATTATGACCGGACCGCTCTTGTTTAACTTGCACAAGGGTGGGCAAACTATGATGCGCGAACAAATACCAAAGACTCACACTCCCTTCATTTTTAATCATAATAAATATGGCCAGATAAAAAAAAAGAATGTGCAATTTAATTTTTCGATTGCCGTTGTCACTACTACATGCGGTTGTTTCGATTTCCTGATGAGATCACAATTTTCTGGGTATAGACATTTTCCTCTTGTTGTGGACACAAGGCCTACTTTAGGACGCTGGTATACGACGATGGTGGGGGTTACGTTTGTCAGAGTGTTTAGTGAGGTTGAAATGTTTGTGATGACACTGAACATTATTTCTGTGTTGTAGTGATTGACTCGGAAAATATCATGTAAATTTCATGTTGTTGGTTTTTTTTTTTTTTTGGTTTTTTTTTTTTTTGTTTGTTTAGTGAGGTTGAAATGTTTGTGATGACACTGAACATTATTTCTGTGTTGTAGTGATTGACTCGGAAAATATCATGTAAATTTCATGTTGTTGGTTTTTTTTTTTTTTGGTTTTTTTTTTTTTGTTGTCCCGATGAAGGTATTTCCCGAAACGTTCAAATTTGCATTTTGTGTAACCATAATTAGAGCTTAACATATACTGTTCTATTTACAATTTACACAAAGTGTGTATCATTCTGTTGACGCCAATGTGTGGATAGGAAATAGTGCAGCCAAATCTTGAGTCAACCTCCAAGTTGTTAGAAAATTGTGAATTTATATAGGAAATGGGGGTAGGAGGGTGGGGGGGGGGCTTAAAGTGGCACAAATTACACACGAATTCTTTATTCGCGGGTGTCCTAAGATCGGGGCGATTTGGTGGCTGGCTGCACTTGTCTGCTGCTCTCTTGTCTCTATCTCGCTATCCCTTTTACCGTACCCGGTGGAAATGCCTCCATGATATTTTAAGGCCTAGTGTTTTACGGAGCAGATGACCACTGATTGGTCAATAGTGTT